TTCTCCCATTAACTTAATTTTAAGTCAATGTCTTCATTATTATCGTTGAATGTTTTAATGTATGCACAAACTATTAAAAAAATCGGATGTATAATATTGTGCATCCATTATAAAGATAGCTTAAAGTGATCAAAAGTTATCCCTCAAATGAATAAAAGTTACCCCAATATGAATAAAAGTAGCCCAATATAAATAAAAATTATCTACGCTTTATTAATAAAGAATCACATTTTAAATGACTAAAAATCAATTATTAGTGATTGAATGTTATTAAATTACCTTTATAAAACTTTTCTTGTTGTCTATTTATATAAAAACTGTATTATGTTTAAAGTTACCCAAAAAAAGGCAAAAAAATTACCTTAAAATTAGCTAAAAGTTACTATTATACTGCTCGATGTACACTAAGGCCCTGTTTGATTCACCTTAAAAAAATAATATTAAGTAAAAATAATTTCAGTTCAGTAAAATTAATTTCAATTCAGTAAAAATAATTTTAGTTCAGTAAACATAGGTTCAGTTCAGTAAAATTCAGTTTTCTTAAAGAAGAATTATAATAGAAAATTAGTAAAAAAATAATTTCAGTTTAGTAAAAATAATTTAAGTTCAGTAAAAATAATTTAAGTTCAGTAAAATTAAGTTCAGTTCAGTAAAAATAAGTTCAGTTCAGTAAAAATAATTTCAGTTTAGCAAAATTAAGGTGAATTAAACAGGGCCTAATATTAGTGTAAATCAGGTGTATACAAAAGTTTTTCTAATATATGAACGTATTTTTCTCTTTCAAAAATTATAATCTTTACCTCTAAGTGCTTTTGGAAGAATATTGGTCCATCAAAGAATTTTTGGAAATCTTTACCTCTCATACATATGCGTAGTAAGATACATATGCCATAGTTAAATATTTGTACTATTTAGTTTTACAAAGTTACACTAGTAGTGATAGAAAATATACACATAATATATGCAAAAGATTTACTCATTTATCGATTATTTAGCTTTTTTGTTTTTTGTTATTTTTTTTTTTTTTTGTTCTGGAATAGGAATCCAAGGATGAAGTCAACATGATGACACATGAGATCAAATTACTTGAGAAAGGGCTCTGGTACGGTATAAGAACCATCACCATAGTAATTCTTTTAGGGTTCGTTTGGCACCGCTATGGTTTTCTGTTTTTTGGTTTTTTGTTTTCTAAAAGTATATAATATGTGTCCCATAATGAATCAAAAATTATATAAACTTGTTAAAATTATGATAATTTTGAAAACTGACAACAGAAAAGTGGAAACACCTTTTTCTTATTTCCTGTTTTTGGTTTTCAAAAAAACAGAAAACTTAAAACCAAAACTGATGCCAAACAAGCCCTTAGTTATTTGTTTATTATTGGTTTATTAATTATCCAAAAGAAAAGGTTAGAAGCTAAATCCTTTTAATTTTTTCCCTTTCAAAATCACCATTTTTTCCCTTTAATTGAATATTATGAATGATGAATTGCTCATGGCCTCACATAATTTATGATCACTAAGAATTTACTTGATTGGGTAACTGGATCTTATTTTCAATTGGTCTTTTGACTTATGAGCATCGGATTTATAGTAGGCTTGGCTTAGGCCCTATTATGTCCGTGTTTAATTTGCATAGTCATAAGTTAAAGAAATTTTAAATAAATTTAATTCAAACAAATTTGGTCAGATACTATCATACAAAATAAAGCTGCAATTAATCATACATAGGTTAGAAGATAATTAGATAACTTAATATCAATGTGGTTAAGGGACATGTGGACGTACATGTGGTATAAACTTTATTAGAAGGAGAGTTTGGTCACACCATACTACTACGCATTTAACATATATACCATGCACTATACCTACGTGTTTTTATTAATCATGTACGAAGTTTCAATACATCAATACACATACATGCAATAGATCAATTGATTATATACATGCAATTCATGAGATTAATTTGCTACAAAAATGGGAAAAAAAAAATAAAATTGAGCTGGAAATAGGTCCATATTTGGAGGGGCAGAAGGAGCAATGACATTGGATGAACTGCATGCACTGGAAAAGCATCTCGAGTCATGGATTTATCAAATTCGTGCTACCAAGGTGCTTTTTAATTCTACTCTACTTTGTATTTCCTTTTAACTTTTTTAGTTCCACTAACAAAAAACAATTGAATACTTCATCTATCCCACAAATATTGTATCATAACCCGTGTTCACATTATTAAGGAGTAGCGTTATAAAATTGAAATTAAAAACCAATAAAATCACGGAGTTTGGGGCCTCTAGTGTCATATATTTCATTCATTATGCCCTACTACATTATGTTATTCTTTGCACCAAGTTGAGGTGTTGAAACCCACTATAGCCCACTTGTGAGTGTCCCAAATTGGAGAAAGAGGATAGATAATTCCACTTTATAAGGTAGAGGAGTTACTCCTACTATTGCCAATTGGTTTTAGTGTAAAAGCTCCAAAGCCTTGTTTGTGGACCAACTCTCCTCCTCTTTATTTGGGTTGCCCAGACCAATTTCATATTGTTTCAAAATTTATCATGGTATCAGAGCCCAGGTTTGTTGGGCCGTTTATAACTGGGCATTTGTCAAGCCACTAGTTAAGGGGCCTCTATTGGATGTTCATTCCCAAAGAGGATTTATATTGTACCTTCTGGTGTGCTCTAAGTTCTAAGGACACTCATAAGTGAGAGGGAGTGTTGAAACCCATTGTAGCCCACTTGTGAGTGTCCCACATTGGAGAAAGAGGAGAGGTAATTCCACATTATAAGGTAGAGGAGTTTCTCCTACTATTGCCAATTGGTTTTATTGTGGAAGCTCCAAAGCCTTGTTTGTGGATCAAACTCTCCTCCTCTTTATTTGGGTTGCCCAGACCCATTTCATATTGTTTCAAAATTTATCAAGGTTTTGTTGCCTCGTGCACCTACACCCATAGTTTGTGTCACTGTGGTAAAAAAAAAAAGCAAAAAAACAAAAAAACAAAAAAATAAAAAAAAAAAAAAGAAGAAGAAGAAGAATCTTATGTTAAAGGAAAAAAGAAGTACATAGTATATATCTATAATATGACCACAACTAATTTACTCATTATCCAATTGCAGATGAAAATTATGTTTCAGGAGATTCAAGTTCTAAAGAACAAGGTAAGTTTAAATCATCCAACTGTTTTTTTTTTTTTTTTTTTTCATTTAATTGGCAATTGGATTGATTTTGTTTAATTATGGGAAAGTTGTATTTGATATTATTTTAAGCAAAATAAAACATGGGAAGAAATTAGGGGGACATATTAACTTCAGTTCTTAAGAGCTGGCTAATATAATAGAGCTTTTTTATATATTTTTTTCCAAAACAATGGCTAATAAGCATAATAATATTATGGACTTGTTTTTATTAAAAACAATTCAGGTGATGTTGCAAACTTGCAATATTATAGAACTTCTTATAAACATATAATTTGTAATGCGGAAGTGAAAACTAAAAGGCCAGGCTTTTTTTCTAGTCAACTAAAAAGCTTTAATTAAAATGCTTACATTTGATTCTTATTGTTATAATACTAATCTTTACGCTCTACTATTTATTGTTTTCTTAATTTAATAGAAAATCTATTTGGTTTGATTGTTAAGGAGGGTGTCCTGAGGGCAGCGAACAAGTATCTTCAACAAAAGGTAGCTTAATTTATCATCATTATTACTTGACATTTTGCACATATTATATTTCATTATTAGTATGACAATTAATTCCGAACAGAGAGATTATTACAATGTATAAACTTATTTATCACCTTCCACACTTGCAGGTTGAAGAGCAACATGGGTTTTATAATGTTGAACCACTGACAACTAACATCCCATACACACTGACTATACCAAATGAAATATACCAATACTAGTTAGTGTACTAACAACCTATATTTCTTTGTAGTTAATGAATAAAATTGAGATACAATTTGGCTCAATCGAATCTCCATGTAATATATCTCTATCTTATGTAAGGTTTGAGATCATACTATTGAAACTTTGTGTCATGGTTTGCTTAGTGGTTGCTTGTATAATACACTCAATTATGGCATGGATTTATGTATTGTAACCAATGTGTTTGGTTTGCTTTTATTTAATTTTTTAGTTACTACTTACTACACCCCCTTCCAATTAATATGACTCTTGTTATTGACTAAAACAAACAAGTTCAGGCAAAGCTTAGATCAAAATACCTTAACATCAATAGTATATATTAAAAGGCGTTTCTAAAGAAGTTAAGATGCCACGTGGCGCTAGACCTGGCAAATGGGTCATTCGGGTCGGGTATGGGTCGGGTCATTTCGGGTCGGGTCAAGTTCGGGTCAAAAGATTATCGGGTCAAGTTCGGGTCGGGTCGGGTCATTTCGGGTCTCAGGTCGATTTCGGGTCGGTCGATAATCGGGTCGGGTCGGGTATCGGGTCAACACTTCGGGTCAAGTTTGGGTCGGGTCAGTTTGGGTCGGGTCAATTTTCGGGTCGGGTCAGTTCGGGTCAGGTCAATATTCGGGTCCAATTTTCGGGTCAACTTCTAGTCGAGTCATATTCGGGTGATTCATTGGGTTAAATTCAACTCTGTATATACATTTATTTATTTATTTTTGACGAAAAACTCACTATATTTATTAAGGCTATATTTTTCATGGATTATATTAATTGTTTGACTTTTATTAACCTTTTTTTTTTTGTGTGTGTGTTTAGAATTTTAGACTGAGAATCACTTTCAGGATCTCCTGAAACAAAGAGGGATGCTCGAACTAATTGAGTTATACCTCACTCTCTTATTGATCTTAGTTTTAATACGTACTCTTATTATCATTGTCATTGTTGTAATAATTTCTTTGAATTATTCTTATACCCCCTCCGTCCCAAATTACTCTTAATGATTTGACATTTTGCACTATTCACACATATCACTTTGACCATCTTTTTTAGCTATTATATGAAAGTCAATGTAGTCATGTAAGGTGTTGGGTCTATTTTAATGTATAATTTCCTAATATAAACTTTTTAGGGTTTTTCTATACAGTGACCTTACAAGAATCACTTTTCTACGTTGTGCCCTTACTTATATGACTTTCTACAGTGTAACCCAAAGGTACAATGTAATTGTACGGTAACCTACGTCAGCAAGCATTTATGACGGACGTTGGTGTGGCATTTATTCCGTCACCTAACTCGTACTTTATACTAAACTTTCTCTCTCCTTTTAAATTCCCTCGTCTTCTCTTACTTCTCTTTACTTCCCTCTGTTTCATTGAATGATCAGAAACCCTAAGACGCAATTTTTCAGCTAAAAAAAGCAAATTGTTGTGGATAATTTGGTGTGGTTCCCTGTGACATACGTCGCGTGAAGATCAACTTAAAAAGACGCAATCGGCAACGAAGGTATGTACTATGCTTGTAACTTCGACCCTTCGTAGTTGTTCCATATTTGGTGAATTATGTAATGTTTGAGATGTTATATGCATAAAGTTGATAAATTTGTTTGGTAAGTAGTGTATTTGGTGGTTTGGTTTTGATTAAGTTCGTGATTGTTTGTGGGTAATCTTGTTAGGTTAATTGTTTGTGCTTGATTATTTGTGGGTAATCTTATTTGTGGGTAATTTTGTTACCATAATTTTGTGATTGTATCATGGCTTTTTTGAGGTTAAAAATAGCGTGGGTATGATGAGTGTGTTTGATGTTAAATTGCTTACATTTTGATATATTTATTGGAAACAACTTGCAGATGGATGACGAGAGGATTTTGAAAATCCACTATGGTGCTAATTATGTTGATTTAACAATTGATGATGTGGATAAGTGTTTGTTAATTGATGTGTTTAATGATATGTGTGAGGAATTTGCAAATAGAGGGTTTGAGTTGCCTGAGTACCCTGGGCTGCATTATTGTTATAAGGAGAAGGCTATTAAGTTAGTGGATGATAGGACATTGATGAAAATGTTTGAGAATATGGAAGGAAAAAGTGATAGATGTGTGGGTGGGTTGTTTGAGAGAGCCTAGCTTTATAATGAATTTGGCTAGAACAGTTAAACCCCAACAAATTTTGCCCAAGGCAAGTAATGCCACTGAGCCTCCTTGTTCTGTCCCATCTTCTAGTACTTACCCATCTTCAACTACTGGCCCAACACTTGTAACTGGGCCAAGTAATACTGTTGGCCCACCTTCTGCAAGTCTATCTAACCCAGCCACATTTCAACTAGAATCATCTAAACAAAGCTCAATTAAATCTGCCCCACCTAGGCCTTTTATGCCAAAGATACCCTCCAGGAAAAACAAACAACCAGTACAAGTTGAATACCCTCCTACTGAATCTGGGGCTTTAACTATAGGAGAACCTGTTAGGAGGAGCCTAAGGTTGACCACATCCCTTTCACCTCCAAAGGTGACCCCTCCTTTAAGTCAGCCTAGGAGATTACCAAGGTTGCTTGAAGAAATTTCTCCTCACTCTCCCCCACATATCATACTATCTACTGATGCATACTTTAACAAATATATGCTTCTGACCTGTCACCTCCTGCACCCAGAAGAAGTCCTAGGCTTTTACAAGGTATTCCTAGCCCTAATCTTAGGAAGGCACCTTTGAACCCTCCACCAGAAGCTAACCAAAATGAACCCCCAAGTGAGCCATTGAGAAAAAGTAGGTCATGCCAAAGTAGAGTCCTCTTTCCACATGTCAAGAAAATGCCTAACACCACTGCAAGGGTAAAGGGCCTATTTATTCCTTTTAGTCAGACTTCACAAACTGTACCAGAAGAAGAGAGTAGTAGGGGGTGCAGGATAAGGGGTGTTGGGGTCCAGCATAGTGATGGTGCTGGTGTGCATAGTGATGATGGTACTGGTGTGCATAGTGATGATGGGAGTTGTTCTGAAACTGATGGTGAATACATGCTTGAAGGACATGAAGATAAGGAGACTGAGAGTGAAGGTGAGGATACAGATCCAGATGAAGTGGAGGAGAATGTGGCAGATTTACTAAATCAGAATTATGTTGATGGAGGTTGGGAGCCTTTTAGGTGTAATGAGAAGTTTTATGAATTAGATGGGGGTTACATAAGTAAGATGTATAATAATGGTGAGGTATATGATGATGCAGAAATGGGTAGAATTGCATTAAGACCATGGAAAATGTTTGTTGACAGGGACCACTTTAAGGATGCACTTAGAGACTTTTGTATCCAAGAAGGTTTTAGTTTGGTTGTTAGAAGGCAGAGCATGATAGATATACTGCTGAATGTGCTGACAGTAGATGCAGATGGAGAATACATGCAAGTTTGCTTTTAGATGGGATCACCTGGGCAATAAAAAGCATTAAGCATGGACACACTTGTGACATGAATATGGTAAACAATCCCATGTGCAACTGCAAGTGGGCTGCTAGAAAGTTAGTGGAGGATATTAGAGCAAGTCCAGAAATCAAGGGGAAAGCTTTAAATCAATTACTTTGGGAGAGGTATGGTGTTACAATGGCTACCTCCACCCAGTACAAGATGAAGAGTATTGCAATGGAGATCATACAGGGAGGACATGGTGAGTCTTATTTGAATCTGAATGTGTATTGCCAGTTACTCAAGGAAAAAAACCCTAGGTCAGTTGCATTCTACACATGGAAGGCACTGCAGCAACCTGAGCCAAACCTCCAGTTCAAGTCAATCTTCATCAACTTTGCTACACAATTTGAGGGTCTTATTCAAGGTTGTAGAGGCTTAGTTGGTGTTGATGATTTCCATTTGAAAGGCAACTATGGAGGAATACTCTTGTAAGCTGCGGCATTAGATGGGAATAATGAAATATTCCCTGTTGCTGTAGCTGTTGTGGATTCAGAGAACAAGTCAAGCTGGTCTTGGTTCTTCCACCACCTCAAGAACATTCTGACTGGAACAGGAAGAGTTGATTGGACAATAATGTCATATCGGCAGAAGGTATGCAATTCTCTTGCACTCTTAAATTGCATGATGCATATTTTAATTGCCCAAACTACATGTTAGCATAATGTGTTACTTTTTTTAGGGAACTGACCCCTCTTTGGATCAAGTGTGGCCAACAGTTCCAAGAAGATATTGTGCAAGACATTTATGCAAGAATTTCAAGTCTGAGTATCCAGGTATACTCATGCACAAATTGTTGTGGGCAGTGACTAAGGCTTATTCAGCATTCAGCTTCAAGAAAGCACTTCAAAAAATTGCTTCTACTGCTGGACTTGGAGCTGTTAAGTGGTTCAAAGATATTGGTCCCCTTGACAGATGGACAAGGTGGAAATTTGACTGCCAACTGTCTTGTGATGAGAATACCAATAACTTTGTAGAAAGTTTTAACAACACAATTGGTGTTGATAGAAGTTGTCCCATACTCACATTACTTGAAGGTAATGCATTTTCTTAGTTACAACAGTTTTATTTACAACAAGCATTGCTAACTTTTCCTCATTTTATAATCACAGGAGTTAGAAGAATTGCTATGGTTAGGCATGCTACAAGGCAACAACTTGCTGACCAGTGGGTGGAGGAAGGTATATGCCCTAACATTAGGGAGAGGGTTAGGGTGCTCACAAAAGAGTCTAGAAAATGCCATGCATATCCTTCTGGTAGGGGTGAGTATGAGGTGTCTAATAGGAGGAGTATGCTCCCTGTGTCACTGAATAGCTAGTCATGTGTGTGTGGTACATGGCAAGTAAGTGGTATTCCATGTAGGCATGGAATAAGGGCTATCATTGATGCTGGGAAGGATCTAACTAATTTTGTCAGGGAGTGGTACTCTGTGTCTAGATACAATTTAGCTTACAATGGCAACATATTTCCTATTCCTGATCCTGGTCAGTGGCCTGAGATGGATGTTTCTAAGCTACTCCCTCCTACAATGAAAAGAAGCGTTGGAAGACCTTCTCGAAATAAGAGAAGAGAAGAAGGGGAAAAGAGAAAGGGGAAGAGGTTTGCTACTATGCAATGCTCAATCTGCAAACAATTTGGGCATAATTTAACTACTTGCAAAGGTGGTCCAACTAAGAAGGAAGTGCTACAGCAACAAGGGAAGACATCCACCACTTCTAACACTACCAGAAAGGCTAAGAGAAATACAAGGCCAGAAGCAAGTCAGACTGACACTGCAGTAAACTTGATTGCTCAGATGATTGGGATGAACTCAACTGATACAGGTGCAGAGTGCTCAAGCCAACCAGACTTAAGAAAAAGAAACAAGCAACCAGTTGCAGAACACCGTTCTTCTCAACCAGCCCCAACAACAACAACTTCTATGAATGAAAGCATCATTCCAAAGAGGCAAAAGATCATGAACAGGCTTGCCATGTTATGAGTCCACTTGATCTTTAGAAGTCTGCAGCATACATTTTGAGCATCACAATGCCTTTTTTTGGATGTCAGTTGAAACTTTGTTGATTTGGTGTTGATATTTTTGCATCTACAAACTTTTAGTAGTACTAATTATATGCATATCTCTATGAATGGGTGCTGCAGTTATGTAAATCTGCCCCACTTATAAATTCTGATGGGGATTGTGTTTTTTTTTTTGTTGTCGAACTTATGGGTGGGATAATCTCTGTGAATGGGTGGATTATTTTTTGGCTGAAAAAAACTTATCTTTTCTACAAGTTTTAATATAATGCATATAACTTTCTTATCATTTCTTGCTTTATTATCACTTATCCATTGTCTCCAATTCAAGATATTATCAAACAATATTGAAACAAACAGAAAATTTCAATCAAACAAACATAAATTGAAACATTAAAAAAAGGGTAGTTCAACCCAATTCATTAACACATACAACTAACTGAATTCTTGCTATTACAATCACTTCTTTTTTTTTAGAGAAATTATTACAATCACTTCATTCCACACTTTTTAACATCACTATTATCACTAAAACCACATACATAAGCACACCCATTTTAACTACCCTAATGTAGCCACTGAGCTCTGTTAGTTTCTCTTTCACAACTGCAATTTCATTTTCATCTGTCCTTAATACTTCTAGACCCTGCAAATCACCTTCATCCAGCCACTTGAAGAAACCGCAATCGTTGCACTTGAAGAACGCTTTTCTACGGTTGCGATTTGTTGTTGAAATCTTCAACTTTGCCAGTTTTGGAGGGTTGCAAAAGCAACGTGGGCAAAAAAATTGTAATGCACAGGAAGAAATCGAGGAGAATGAGCCGCGAGAATTAGACATGGCCTCTTGCTTTATCTGAAACTTACAAAAATTGAACCTTTAAAGAATTGTAATAAAATTTAGGGGTTTTAAAGGAAGAAGAAGGAAGGAGGGAAATTGTTTTTTTTAGAGGGAAAAATTCCCCCCAAAAGTTGTAACAGACCACCTACACGCACTCTCATATAAGTTAACGGAACGCAATAACGACAGCTTAACGGCGAGGTTACCGTACAATTACTAATTGTACCTTTGGGTTACACTGTAGAACGTCATATAAGCAAGGGCACAACGTAGAAAAGTGATTCTTGTAAGGTCACCGTATAGAAAAACCCAACTTTTTATAACTTATATAATTATTTACTAAAAGAAGTTAAAGGTCGGGTCATTTTCGGGTCGGGTCAACTTCGGGTCTCGGGTCAACTTCCGGTCGGGTCGTTTGGGGTCTCGGGTCAACTTTGGGTCAGGTCATCTCGGGTTAGGTCATTTCGGGTTTGGGGTCAAGGTCGGGTCAGTTCCACTTCGGGTCGGGTATGGGTCGGGTCGGGTTAATTCGGGTTTTGGGTCAATTTCGGGTCGATTTCGGGTCATTCGGGTCGGGTCATCGGGTCTGGGTCAGGATTGCCAGGTCTACATGGCGCTCTCCTCAAGGCGTTCCAAATGAATTTTAGGTGCCACGTGGCGCTCTTCTCATTTAATCCGATTTTCACTCTATGTCTAAAAATATGGTTCATAGAAGGTTTGAACCCACAACTTCAAGTTTAAGTTTAAATTTCAACGTTTTAATTAGCCACTAAACTATTACCATATTACATGTCATTCAATAAAAATAAAATATTAATAAAGATTTTTGTCATGGAAATAACGCAGTAACTCGAGGCATCGCCTGGGCCTAACACTAGTTATACTTTTAATTTGTTGGTGCATATCGATGGAAGATTTTGACACCTCACCTAGCCTCAAAATAAGTTTATTATAGTTATCAAAATTAAGGCCTATTCACATTTATATAAATGAGCTGAGCTAAGCTGAAATGAACTGATTGGAGCTGAACTGAACTAAACTGAACTGAGTAGAGCTGAAATAAATATTTTATGAGAGAAGAAAATTAGGAAATGAAGTGAACTGAACCGGACTGAACTAATTGGAGCTGAATTGAACTGAACTGAACTGAAATTAAGCTAAAGTGAACATGCCCTTACTCCCTCCGTGTTTTTTTAAGTGTTATAGTTTGACCGGCACATAGTTTTAGGCAATTTAATTGACTTAAATAAAATAAGAGGTAAGTGGGGTAGTTGGAGCATTAAAAAATTGTAAAAGAATATAGTGGAGTTAATAATTTATGGAAAAGTAATGAATGTGAGAGGAGCGATATAATAAAAAAAAATAGTAGTGGGTTTGGGGGGATCATGAGAGGAGAGAGATATAATATTTTAATGTAGTTTTATACCAAAAAAGGAAGTGTAACACTTATTAAAATACGGCCGAATTTGGTAAGTGTAACACTTAAAAAAACACGGAGGGAGTATTTATTTCAATCATAAGTTACATAATTGAATTTTACAATTTGTTAGAAGGATTTTTTGACAATTACCACCTGTAATTGTTGTTATTTTATTACCACCTACATTTTATGAAAACACAAAACTTCCCACCACTTTGACCAACCCCTCAAAGATGACGTCATCATTGCTAATTCCCTCCATTTTCTTTCTTCGTCACTCGATTCTCACTTGTCTCTTCTTCCACTTCAATATAAATTGAGGCATATCTTGAAATCGAATTGCTAGAAACCCTATTTTTTTAAGATTCGAAGCAAGAACAACGAATTTTAAAACCCTAAATTTTTTAATTTAATAATTCGATTTTAGTATTTGTGCAAAATTTAAAAGGAGATGAAGAAGAAAGACTACTGAGTATTGAAAGAGGAAGGAAATACCGTTTTGTGGGCCCCACCATGATGTTATCTTTCAAAATAGTGAGAAGTTTTACCATTTTTATAAAATATAGGTGGTAGATTTTAATTAAAAATAAAAAAAAAACCATAGGTGGTGATTCCTAAAACAACAATAATTGTAAGGAGTAATTGTCAAAAATTTCTTATTAGAACTAATCATACCATTGACGATGATAAACATATAAAAGTGTTGAAGCTTAAAGGTTTTGATGATGATGATGAACTTAAACTAAATCAAACTCAATTAACAAAGGTTTATAAGTGTTTGATTAGTATAGGTGAAGTTGACCTTCGAGGTGGAAGAGTAACTTAGACTATGAAGACATGAAGAGACTTTGAAGAAAAGTCAAGCAAAATAGAAAAAGAGTTCTCTAACAAGAATTGAGTTCCTTAACAGAAATGTTCCCTAACAGGAACCTGGAGGATGCAAGCTGAAGACAGTAAGTTCTGAAAGGAACTTATTCTGTGAAGTTCCAGTTGAAGACTAGAGAACGAGTGACAGCAGGAACTTGTTCCTGATCTGCGTGAAGCCCAAGTAATTCAAGATTACAGAAACGCGGCACGACAATATTAATTTAGTTAAGATTTTATCTTCTAGATTTATTGTTAAATATGTTAAATAGATATGCACGAAATTTATTAGAAGCGTGACAAGATAATTGGCAAATATAATTAATACGAAAAAAGATAAAAGATAAATTTTAAGAAAAGATTTTTGATTTATTTTGTTTCTTAAAATCAGTTTTAACAAAAGATTTTATTCGTTTTGCTAAAACTTACCTTATCTTATTTTTCAAAAAAGATTTTATTCTAAAAGATTTACTTAAAACTATATTTTGTGATTTAGTTAATTTAACTTATTTATCTTTTGAAAAACGCTACTAGCTATACGAGTTAATCTTGTATAAATAGTAGAGGTCACATCTTCATAAGTTTTTTGTGAGTTTTGCGTGAAGAAATCTCTGAGCCTAATTTGTGTAAGTTTGCCAAGCTTTTATCTTGTCATGTTAGTTTCGGATTTCGTGCATTGCTTGCCTAACATATTCTAAGTGTTATATTTTCTGTAATTGGTTGGGTTATTGGGTGTGTGTGTATGAATTCAATAATGCATACAGAAAATATAGCTTTGAGTGCAAAAGCTGTGTGTTAGTATTGTGAGAGTACGAGAGAATTCAAATTGGGAACTTGAATTAGGTAGGATAGAGTCCTACTGTGTAGCAAGTTCTAATTGGAACTTATGAGTAAAGGTCTGTCTTATAATAGGTTTATAACTTGGTGTTTACCCTATTATAGTGGATTGGTTTTTGTGTGGAAATCCCTTAGAAGGGTCGAGGTTTTACTTTCAGTTGGGCCCTGGAAGGTTTCCTCGTAAAATCCTGTGTGCATTGCAAAATTCTTTTTGTGTTCTGTTTTATAATTTGAAAAAGTAGTCACTAGGAACTCACCTACAATTCACTCCCCTCTTGTAGTGTTCGTTTCAACTAACAAAAAGTAACTTGTATGTTGGATATATGTGACATCTATTTAGCATTGTTAATTTTTGGATTTTTTTGACGATTACCACCTACAAATGACAAAACAAGAGGCCAATAATAACATGATAATGAAGAAATAAAGCCTAATAAACTAAGATGAATAATACAACAAAACTTAATTGGAACATATAACATGACATAGAATCATATCAATAAGAAGCACATGCATTTCCCTAGAAATGACATTTCTCCTTACTTATTTTTGGGGACACGAGCATGGTTTAATAAGTTTTAGAAGAGTTGCCACCATAATTTTACCAGAATTATATATTCCTTAATAAATTGACTCTATTTGGATAAGAAGCAGGTTTAGATTGACGAAATTAAATCTAAAGATTAGGGTCTGAAATAGTTGATTTATTTTTTTATCGGTTTAGTGCACATTGCAAAGTACTTTGAACACATTCAACATTTTGAAATATGCATGTTTATGGTCTTTGTTGAATTAGCAATTAGTAGGGTTTGGAAAGGTGATCATCATTTTGAATTAAGTCAAAATACATGCATAAGTTAGGCTAAGCATATGGAGAGTGTAGAGAGGAGGGGATGATGCCTAATCACATACTTCCTCCGTTCTTTATTACTTGACCCGTTTTGACTTTTACACTACTCACCACCCCTCCTTTGACCGTCTTTTGTGAATATATGTAAGGAAAAATATATTCATGTATGATATTTTTGGATTTGTCTCAATAAGTAATATCATAATATATAACTCTTATAATTTTTACTTATGGAGAATTTAAGCTATTGATCATTAAAGTTTTGCATTGGCAAGCGTGATAAAAGAAACAAGTCAGGTAAAAAAGAACGGAGGAAGTACTATATATGATTACAAGGCTTTGAGATCAAAATTACAGCCCTTGAAATCATAGACATAAAGTAAAGCAAGACATAAATATAGCAAGTACTATTGAATGCAAAATACTAAATAACCAATTCTCAAATTTCTTGACATGCAAGTCAAATTAAATCATAGTGAGTAAGAATTAAAAGAAAGTGAATATATATTGAAATGTCAAGTGTATGTATGTGTAGCAGTGCAATTTGCAAAACTTACGCGGCTAGAGAAGATAACAATAATGATGAGCTAGTTCCAAGAAATGAAATTGTAGTGTGTTAAATTCTAACTACTACTAATACTACACCGACGAATTTTGTTTTTGCGAATAGATAAATTAAAGAAGTAAATGTAGGCATGTAGTGTTAGGGGTGTTGGTGAAACTGCAGTGTTTGTAATTGTAGCTGTATGAAAGTTGACTATTGCTATTGGTCGTATCACATTCTACCATTTTTTGTAATTTATTAATGGACCACTATATATTGACAATTTGACACCTCTCTATTCAATTCACTTCAAAAGAAAGTAAGTTAGCTTGATCTAATTGGTTATGGTTTCTCATTTGTGAGCTAAGTTCGGATCCTAACAACTTCTTGGTATTTAAGAGTAAGGATCCCTTTTATTGATCGATAAATTAAACAACTTAAAATCCAATTTAATTCGAGAAGAATTGTAATTATTCCGATCTTACATAATGTAGGATCAAGTTCTACTTTATATAACCTGAGATTGAGTTCGAACAGGCTAAGATCTATCCCATTCAACCTGCATTATTATTCTAGACATGACCTTAAGTCAACTGTAGCTTGAATTCAACTGAATTGTTTGTAATTTGAAGAAACTCTATCTAATACCCTAATCAACTTGAGCATTGAACGTCATCCAATATAACTCAACATAAATAACCTAATTGAACTCGAATTTTCATTAATTACACACTTAGGAGTATAGGATAACCCGATTTGATGTATTTCTCTTTTACTTCCTTCGTCCCCGATTGATAGTCACTTTTGAATTGAAGAAAAATCACAGAAATTACGGAGAATTAAAGAAAGTACATTAAAAAAAGTAAATTTACATTGGGTATGCAAAAAAGTAGATAGATAAAGTAATTAAAGTACATAGGAAAGTAAAATTTACATTGAAATTTTCACAAATATTTTTGCAAATGTTAGAGAATTTTGGTAAAAAAATAATATTAATGGTACTTGAAAAAAGCAAATGTGACTAACATTTTAGGTGCCCAAAAATGGCATAAGTGACTATCAATCAGAGACGGAGAGAGTATTATAAATATTTAAAACTCGTTGATTTGATTACATGTTTAAACTTGATCTGAACCCAAGGTTTATACAATACAAACTTGGCCTACACCCTTGAATTCAAACTCGACCCTACTTGAGAAATCATCTAATTTGTACTTAGCCCGAACCAATTCGACCCACATTTGATCCTAACTTGACTCGAATCTATAGTTCTCTTGTTAGGATATGATCCGAACTCGATACTCAATTATTCCAAACTTGACCCGAATAAATTATACCGGTACAAACCCGTTCCAAACCAAGATTAACTCAAACAAGACCTGAACTAAATTGAAATCAACTCTAACCCAATATAATAAATTTATCAGAATATAACTTGAGTGACCCAAACTAATCCAACCTGATCAAAACTTAAACGAATGCAACTCAATTGCATATAACTTTGCCCAGTGAAGAAAAAAAAACGAACGAAGGGAGCATTAGAGTTAAACTCATGTCCAGGATTTTTGTGCAATGGGTCTAAGTTAAAATGGACCATATGTACTGTGAGCAAGCCACATGGAAAACATCAAGTCTTGTGTGTGACTACATATGTTATTAAGAGTAAGGGTCTGTTCTCATTGACTGAACTCAGCTGAACTGAACTGAGCTGAACTGAACTGAACTGAATATTTTATAAGAGAAGGAAATTAGGAGCTGAACTGAACTGAACTGAACTGAACTGAGCTGAGCTGAACCGAACCGAACTGAACTGAACTGAACTGAACTGAACTGAACTGAATGTCAACGTATGAGATTAGGCCCTAACTCTTGCTCTTATTCATCAATCTAGAAACTCAATTATTCAGGAAGGTAACCTTATTTTGTCCATAAAAGAAATATATCACATAACATCTATTAATTAAAAAGACATAACCCCATTTGTTCATTCAAATACTCTCAGAGTCTCGGCCCCTCTTTGTTTGTTTCAAAATTACAAGAATAATTTCCTTGTCTATAATAGTAATCTCATTTTTCCATTGCGTTAACCCTTACATACATATCAAATTAACCCCATTTGATCATCAACAATGTAATCCCAAATATTCAATTAATTACTTATATGTGAACTGACCACCATAAAATAATTAATGGTGTGGCTGACCACATATAAACATGTGTCCATGAGAAAAGGGACTTCAAATGTGAAAGGAGGGTTGTTGGCCAAGTCTTGTACTTTAGGCTATGTTTGGTTCATACTTTAGGCTGTGTTTGGCTGCAATTTACAAATTGCAGCCATTTAAAACTTGTATTTTGTAAATTGTAGCAATTTATTTATTTTTTTTTTTGTTTGCAAATTGCATCCCAAAAGTTGTTATAAATTATGAATTGCAGCCTAATATAATTTTTTCATCGGTTTGTGTGTAAAAAATGTTCATTTTAGGTTTTAGGGGTCCGAATTGAGCTCGGATTGGCAAAAAAAAAAAAAAAAAAAAAATGAAAATGGCTACAATTTGCAAATTTTCATTTATATGTACACATTCTTCATTAAGGCAGACTTTTAATAATTTGTTGTATAATTAGCCCAATTGTGCTATCTAAATTATTTAGATTCACACAATCACAAGTGCTAAATCAGAATTCCTTAATAATCGTATAAGAACACCAAATGTAATCAATGGATTAGAGTAACATAAAAACATTAACGTTATCATGAACTTGTTGTTATGTTGGATTATTCCTAATATTCATTTTAACAACTATTTACAAATTTAATTTTAGCTATTTATTTTATACGAAGTAAGTAGTATGATATATCTACAATATACGTAAGAAAAAAAAAACTTAGGCGATTAGCTACGAGCCTACAAATAATAATATAGCAAAACCCAAAAAATTATATGCATTGAATTGAATGCCATAACATGATTTACATCTCATTTTCAGCTTTCCTGCGGCGTCTTACACAGTGGGACAGTTGAGCCTAATTAAATGAAGTGTTCAGAATTTATGTTTATTTACCAACAAAACAAGTCTTTATTTATTTTAAGCAATTACTTCCTTCTTACCAAACTTCTAACCCTTTACTTTTTAAATACTACCTTCACTTTCACACATTCTCATTATTTACACCACACTATTAAATCTTCTTACACAAAATTGTACTCCTCCAAAAAAAATAAGATAATGAGTAGTTTTCTAGTGTTTGTGGTGGTAGTGGCAGTGGTGGTAATGAATGTATGTGTCGCACAAGATTACGGAGACGTAACGACTGCGACACCGCCATCGAATGGCGGAGTGGCTAGGAATAAGGAGTTGGTGCCGGCAATGTTTGTGTTTGGAGACTCGTTGATTGATAATGGAAATAATAATAATTTGCCTTCTTTTGCTAAGGCTAATTATTTTCCTTATGGTATTGACTTTAATGACGGTCCAACTGGTCGCTTCTCTAATGCCTACACCATTGTAGATGCCATTGGTACATGTTTTTAATTTTTTAATTTTTTGTTTTTTTGTACTCTTTTATTTCATGCAAAATTTTGTGTTTGCATGCATGTTGAATTTGAGGATTTGAGTATTATCTTAATTTTATTTCATCCAAAATTTTTGTCTCTATATAATTTAAAGTCGTAATTCACTAATTACCTTTTCTCTTGATTTCTTTAAAAATAAGAAATTTATTTCATTATCTTATTTTTCATACTACTTTAATAAAAATCACTTTAGTGTAATTCGTTACCTAGAACCCTTGCCCAAGAAAAAGGAGCTTTTATTTATGGGTGTAGCAATTAAATTATGAGTATTTAACATGCAAATTTGCTAAATAACAGGATACTCTCTTCGTTTCAAATTAGTGTCAGACTCACACTAGTCACGTTGCTAATTTAAATTACTACGGAGTATGATCTAACAACTTAACTTTAAAAGTAAGTGTAAAAAAAAAAAAAAAAAAAAAAAAAAAAAACTTTAAAAGTAGACGGATGGAAAGCTAGACAATTATAGATTTAAAGTTGCATGATTTGAATTAACTTATGCATGCATGTGTAATTTAAATTTTAACATTCATGAAATGATTAATTTAATAAATTAATATGACTTTGTGCTAAAATATGTAATTGCAGCGGAGTCACTAGGTCTGCCTTTAATACCAGCATACTCACAAGCAAGAGGAGGGGATCAAGTACGTTACGGTGTTAATTATGCTTCAGCTGCTGCTGGCATTCTTGATGTTACTGGCAGAAATTTTGTAAGCCATTTATTTTCTTTAAGATTTGTTTTTTTAATATTTTTTAATGCTGTTACTTCAATCATGTTCAAAATTTACATTTCATTGTTATAATCGATGCATCAAAATACTGTTACCCTAATAAATTCTATAAAATAAATAATTCTTTTTGAAAAAAATTACCCTAACATTAGTAAAGCAAGAGTATCTCCAAAAAAAAAAGGTCATTTTAAAATAGAAGAGGGACTTGCATAGTTGTATATGCACACTTTAAATTTAATATATGGATGAGGCCTTGGATTAAAGAAATAAATCAAGGGTCTGTACACAGTAATCGAGTTATAATTTGAACTCGCGATATGTACTCCAATTTGTAATTTGTAATTTCGTTGTGCCTATTTTGAACATACATTATTAAGTTTAATAATTCTGGTCCTCGCATGCTAGCTTGACTAGTTGGTGTTCAAATTATCACTAATTTGTCCTTCAATTTATGGATGAAATCAATGTTAGGTACTTTTATCTTGGTTGGTTAATCTCATGTAGGAAGGTTTACTAAGTGGATAAATTTCAAAGAATTGAATGCTATTGGTAGAACCTGGTACCAATTAAATACAGAGTAATAATTATAACAAGCCAATTGAACCGATGCTGTAAAAGCGACTAGCTATTCTCATGCATGAGATCATTTACTGCTCTCAGTAATTTATTGTAAAGGCAATGCTATAATTTAGGTGTTTTTTTGACAGGGTATGTGCAATATCTATTATACATCCCATTGTTCATGTGTACTTTAATTTAATTAATTTATTGCTCATTTATTTGTATGGAGAACTCTAGATTAACAATTAAGTTCATTGAATAAATATCGACTGTACAATAGAGACAATTCTTATTAGCTCTATTGAGCGTCAATGCCTCATAATATTACGTATATAGTTAAAATATATAAAAAAAAACAAATTCCTTTAAAAGAAGGCTTTTTTTTAATGTATGGAAACAACTTTAGGAAAATAGTAACGTCTCAAGTAAACATATTAAAAGTACCTAAAAAACATGTTCCTTATATACAAAATGCATCATTGACACTTTACATTACATAAATTTTAGTAGATAATTTCAAGTAGTAAAATTTAAGACATTTTATTTTTGGTGATAGGTTGGACGCATACCATTCAATCAGCAAGTGCGCAACTTTGAGAACACATTAAACCAAATAACGGCAAATCTTGGGGCTGATGATGTTGGTAGAAGCTTGGCACAATGTTTATTCTTTGTTGGAATGGGAAGTAATGACTACCTTAACAATTATCTTATGCCCAATTATCCTACTCGTAACCAATATAACGGGCAACAATTCGCCAATCTCTTGGTTCAACAATACACCACTCAACTCACGGTAAGCCTTTCAGTCGTTGACTTTTAATAAGCTAGTTTCATGGGAAAAGAATAGAGGCTTAACTTTTTATGTAACATTAACGTGTTATGTGAATGAATTAATTGCAGAGATTGTATAATCTCGGAGGGAGGAAATTCGCTATAGCCGGACTAGGAATGATGGGGTGCATCCCAAGCATACTGGCACAAAGCCCTACGGGCAAATGCTCGGACGCTGTCAACAACCTTATACAACCTTTCAATGCCAATGTGAAGACCATGCTTAGCAATCTCAATTCTAAACTCCCTGGTTCCAAGTTTATTTACGTCGACATTGCTAGCATGTTTCGTGACATCCTAACTCGTCCCGCTACTTATGGTACGCTTACCATCATTTTTATGTGTCAATTTATAAATTTTGTTTCATACAAAAGTTTGTATTGGGATTTGGGATGCAATAATTTCAAATTCACACAATCGCGGTGATAGAAATTAAATTAAAGATAAATGGTTGAACAAAAATTGTTACTTGTAACTCTTTATCATGGTCGTACTACTTTTTTTTAGTGTAACAAAATAAAATTTGAGGTACTAGTAGTTTAGTACATGTATTCTCTTAAGACCTAGATGATTAATTAATTCATAAATATAAATTTACTATAACTTTGTAATTCTTCGTTATGTTGGATGGTAAAATGCAGGATTTAAAGTGATCGACCGAGGATGTTGTGGAATCGGGCGCAACCAAGGCCAAATAACATGTCTACCGTTCCAAACACCGTGCATGAACCGAGAGGAGTACGTATTTTGGGACGCCTTCCACCCTACATCACACGTGAACGTTATCTTAGGGCGTAAGGCCTTCAATGGAGGCAGCGACGTTGCTTACCCGATGAACATTCAACAGCTTGCTGCTCTTAACATTGAAACTGATTGAACAAATTACGTACTAGCCTGGCTTAGCTTCTTAGTTAGTTAATTACAATAGTGTGTCACTTTTCTATGATCTATATTACCTTCACTATTATAAGTGTTGTTAATTAATGTGATCTAATGGAAAAAAAAACAAAGAAAAAGACTAAAACTTGGAATTATAATGTCTCACTGTTATATATGTCTATGCTTTAATTACTTGTGGTGTTATCCATGGTTTTCCGAGCACTGCTTTAACTTTGGTCGATATTAATTTGAAAATGATAAATATAGCCCTTAGGGCTATTTATAAGAAGCTTAAAGAGGAAATATTGAGGAAAAATTAACATTAATTACACCGATTTGCTTGTGATTTTATCATGAATTCCCAACTTATTTCCATTTTAGGTAGTAAATTTAATACTTATATATAGCCCTAAGGGCTACATATATCATTACCCTTAATATTTATTTGGCCTTACAAACATAACTTTATATATATATATATATATATATATATATATATATATATATATATATATATATATATATATATATATATATATATATATATATATATAAAGAAACTAGGTTTGGTCTCATGTCACGCGTGGTAATCACTGTTTATTATTTTATGTGAAGAAAAAGGAATTCATTAATGAAAGATAGTCAAACGACACTTAAAAACAATTCCTAGAAAATCTAAAATTCCAACACAAGTACAAATCACCCTAAAACTAGTTACATCACATATTTGATGAACGATCACCTTAATAAAAAGTTTCATCCGAACTACTACCTCTGTTAACAGTTATTTGCAACATTTACTTAAAACAGGTGCTAACTTTTATTTGCAACATTCCCAAATCTTTCCATTTTTAGAAACTTTTTTTAAATGAAATTACAAAAATACCCTTACATAAAATTTTATAACATCAATTACAAACTTAAACCTTAATTGATTAAAAACTAATCTAATCTAATTAAGCTTAGTTTATCTTTCAATAATCATCTATTCATCATCTTCCCCATTATCTTTCTCTCTCCTCCTCCATCATCTTCTTCCTCTTCCTCCTCTCCATAATCTAATATCTCCATCTTTATCCTCTTCAACATTAACTTTCTCTCTCCTCCTTCAACCACTTTTTATGAATGGAAGAAGAAACACACTCAATTAAGATATGGGATAATGGTCTTGGTTTTGCGGGTTTGGGATCTGAATTTGTGGGTTGTGGGTTAATTCGTCTAGGTCTTGGTGTGAGGGTGTCGGTGATTTTGGTGGTTCGTGGGGGTGATTTTTGTGATTGGATTTGCTGAGTTCGTGGGGTTGGTTTTGGTGGTAAGTGAAGAGTTTCGGTGGTTCTTTGTTTATCATGGTGGTTCGTGGGGGTGGTTTTACTTTGGTGGTTTGTCAAAGGGAAGCAGTCAGGGTGGTTTTAGGTGGGTCATTAAAGGGTTTCGGTGGGGGTATAGTAGTTTTGATGGGTCGTCGAAGAATTTAAGGGGTTTGTCGGTGGTTTTTCTGGGTTTGTGGTTGGATTCCGGTGGTTTCGGTGGTGGTTTTGGGTTGTGGGTTTCGATGGCTTTGGTGGTTCCGGCGGTTGGTTGTTGGTGGTTCTGGGTTTTTGGGTAATTGTGTTTTATTTTTTTTTATTTTTTTTTGGTAGTAGTAGGATTAAACTTAAGGCCTTAAGCACATACCCTTATTTTTCAATAATCATACTTAAAAACTTTTGCCTAGGAGTCCGCACAGACCCCCTTTGTTGCAAATAACTGTTAACGGAGGTAGTAATACAATCTGTGAGTTAGCACTAAATCGGTTTGAGATCCACGTATGAGAAGTTGTTTGGGTGAAAAAACTCACATGGCCTTCTAGATACTTTCGGAAACGATGAAACCCAAAATCTTTAATCTTTAGCACATGAACAAACAAAAGAAATGAGCCTAATTGAATAAACACCATCATAAAGATGGATCCACTAATTGAAAGCAACTAAGAAGTTTTTTGGGCTTACCACCGGAAAAAACACCGTTGGAAGCCCCTACAAATATTTACAGTTGAGATCAAAAGAAAAGAGATGGAAGAGAAAGATAAAAATAAAAATAGAAAAAAAGAAAGAGAGAGAAGAGGGAAGGAAAACCTTAAAAAATGCAAAAAGAAAAAATGCAAAAAAAAAAAAAAAAAAAAAAAAAAAAACTAGCAATAGAGGCTAGAAAAACCCTCCAAAAGGGAAACCCTAGAGCGAAAAAAAAACTCTCCTAGAGAGAACTGTTTCATCCAATATTCCACTGTGGATGCAACATGGGCCCTCCTCATACCGTGCGCGAAATGTTCTTCTTGAAAGTGGGGAATTGATGAGATTTGAACACATAACCTTTGTGTCACGCTGGCTCCGATACCATATTAGTGGACTATTTCAACCAACAAAAACTTTTGTATGCCCTCAGTTTACAATAATTTTATTGTACATCGAACAATTTGCGAAAAGTGACCCTTTTTTCTTATAAAAGTGACCCTTTTTTCTTACAAAATTGACCCTTTTTTCACAAAAGTGACCCATTTTTTACAAAAGTGATTTTTTTTTCACAAAAATGACCCTTTTTCGCAGGAGTGGTCCTTTAATCACAAAAGTGACCCTTTTTTTTCACAAAAGTGACCTATATTTTACAAAAACGCACTACTGTCTGCCGACCTTCAAAAAAAATTGGGTCACAAAATTCAGAAAATATACCTTCAATTTTTTCGTTTGAACTAGTAGTACGAGGAGCAATTGTCTCCTTCTTTGAAAGCTTAACATTCGACATTATATTTGAAAACTAAAATCAAAATAGAATTAACATGAACATACCTTAAAATAACCAAAAATACAAAAAAAATATGAACATACATACCTCAATGTTGGATGTAAAAGAAGAATTAACAAAAGAAACTACAAAATTAAGTTGAAAACCAAGATTAGATAGAAAAACGACAGTGAAATTGAAGAACAAAGGATATAGAAACTAGACAGAGAGGTAAAGAAGATGAGAGAGAAAAAGAAGAGCAGAGGAAAGCTAGAGAAGAAACGATGAGTTATAAATTTGGTTTGATTGGAGTCTTAGAACTCAGCGACCTAGGTTTTCTCCCGTCAAAACACATAAAGAGAGGAGAGGTTTGGGACAATAGAGGAAGAAAGAGGTGAAAACAAAGCACTTTAAAATACCATTCTTAGTGTTAAATTGTAGAAGAGATACAACCGCCACAAAAGAGATAAATGAGATGAATTAGGAATGTGAAAATGAAGAAAGAAAAACAAGGAGGGGATTCAAGGAAGGAGAAAGAGCACTTTAATTAAAAAAAAAATTTATTTTTTTAGAATGTAATATAATCAAAGACAGATCAAGAGTACTTTTTGAAAAGATTCTATAAAATAATAAACTATACTACCACCGTTTTTTTCTTATTCAGTTCACTCATTTAGGCTTTGGCATTAATCACACACTCTCCTTTAACTGTGTTTTATGCTTACGTAATGAGAAATATAGTCATGTGGGTTCTTGTTAGATTTGTCATTATATATATTTTCAAAGTATCAAATTTTAATGATTTTTTCTTATCGATTATTAAAGATAATAATAGTTGAATTTATGCATTGGAAAATATGAATAAGGAAACATGTCAACTAAAAATAAACGGAGGAAGTATAAGTTAAATGTAATCCTGTAAAGGAAGATGGAAAGGCAGAGGAGAGCAAGTGGAAATTAGAGGAGTGGTTTGGATGCAAAATTTCATGCGCTCAAAACTCAAAATTAATGTGATACTTTGTGTAAAAAGTTAAATTAATTTAATAATATATTTAGAACATAAAATTCAACCTTAAGGTAAAATTGTGATACCAGTAAGGTAAAATTGTGTGTGAGTATGTGTGTGTGTGAGAGAGAGAGAGAGAGAGAGAGAGAGAGAGAGAGAGAGAGAAAGAGAGATAAGGGACATGGGAGAAAGCGAGAGAGGGGTGAAGATAGACATATGTGTCGAGAGAAAGAAGAAAAGTTAGAGAAGGGTCGGGGAATGATATGGGTACGGGAAAGGAGAGGAATCAGGACTCGGAAAAGAGAGAAATAGAGTGATAGAAAAAGGGACCGCGAGAGGGAAGTCAAAGAAGAGAAAGGGGCTAGGAAAAAAAGTGAGATAGAAAAAGGAAGATCGAGTAAGAGAGAAAAAGAGTTAAGAGAGAAAGAAAAGGGACCAAAGAAAGGAATTGATAAATAAAGGGGAGAGAAGAGGTGGGATAGAGAAAAATAGAGTGATATACGGGAGATAGTTCGAGAAAAAGAGAAGTGTGAGGAGAGAAAGAGAACAGAAGACCGAGAAAAAAATGAAGATATAGAGAAGCTAGGAAAAACAGTTGGGTTAGTGGGAGAAAGGGAAAGGTCGATGGGAGAGAGAGAGAGGGAGTGAGAGAGAGGGAGGGGGAGAGAGAGAGAGAGAGAGAAGTTGTAACCTATAATTTCAAAGGCATTAGCAAAGGGGGAGGGGGGTAGATAAAAGAAAAAAGAGGTTTTAAAGTAATAGAGGACAAAAAGGTGAGAATCATTTAAAGAGACCATGCTTAATGTTTAATTAGGGAGGAGACTTAGAAGTTATGGAGGAGGCTGAGAAATGGAGAAAATTATTAATGTTTTGTGCTAATTGTGGAAGAGACCTTTTTCTGTTATCATATGTAGTTCACATAAATAATTAATAATTTGTATTAAGTATGTCATTTATTACTAAACTAAAGCAATTACCTTTGAATGCAAATGTGCAATTTGTCCATATTTTCCATTCTATTATGTAATGGGAAATTCGTTAACGTACTAAGTAATTAGCATTCTTTATTAGGAATGTATATAAGCAATTCAGTTTCTGTAGATATGTAATTCTAACTACATACCCTACAACTTATTAATTTTCTAAAACTATATAACAACATGGCAACACTTTTTAAACAATATTAATTATCCAAATAATTAAGACATAACCTTCATTTTTAATCAAAATACCAAGAACTAAGCTAAACTAATAACTAATATATAACATTAATAATGGTTAGCCCACCTCATACTATCCAATCTATGTAATTATAACAATTAAATATTAAATTTCACCATTTATTTTTGGTTAAACCATAATAGCTTTAATTTATAGAGAGAGGGAGACAAAGGAAGGGGAGTAGCTAGAAGGAGTAGGGGAGAGCAAG